CGAGGCACGTAGCCAGAAAAGTATAAGCAACTTCATTATCGGAAAGGTTATGATTTATTTCACGCTTACGGTCCTTAAATATCAATTTGAGATGCCACTCTTTTTTAAATATAGTTGCTAATGTGCAAATAAACCTTCATTTCGTAAATTTTGGAGATAGAAAGCAAGAAACGTACATTTATGTCCAGTACCTCCCGTGCTCTGTTAAAGCTGCTTCGCACAAAAAAAAAAAAAAAAAAAACGGGAAGATAAAACTGAAGAAGCAAGATAGCTTAAAAATAACACTGGAAAAACTATAAGATACTTTTATGAATTACATTAAATGATACTAAAGATAGTGATTGTAGAATACAGGCTGACAGCGTAATTTCAAAAATTTCTTCATTTCAGTTCGTTTCCTCCATTAGTATTTGGACTACCTCTTAAATGCTGTGTATGTTGTACAACATGGGTACAACATGCAACATCAGCAGCAACGATTGCCCAAACTTCTTTTATATCGATTGCAATTATCCAACGTATGCATCTTGGGTCATAAGACATACATCTACGTAGCTATCAAATTCATTCAAAACTTGGTATGTGCATTTAATCGCCTGCAGTACATGCACTGATTATAAAATTTCTAGATGAAAGTTAACAATGGTGGCACATAAATTTTGTCTTTAACCTCCCTAAGAAAGAATCGCATTGTGTACGATCTAGCTAACAGGGTGGCGAAGGAAGGAGGTTGTTGCCTCCATCTGCAGCATGTCGAATCCATCGATAGCCAGACTTGAGAAGTACTTGTGCATTCAATAAAAATGAACTAGAGATCATTAATTTGTAGAATGCACACACCCCAGCTAGTATACAGTCTGAAATGCAACCACTTTTTTAAAAGTAAAGTATCTGAATAACTATATTAACCTTGCCACCCTTATAAAGCGGTGAACAGCAAATTACTAATACTGCATGACGAAGCTAGGAAATTTGCCGTTGCTGTGTATTAAACCTTTACAAGAATATAAATAAATTTATTAACTTTTGAAACTGCACCATTCATTCTTTTGTGCACGCTGTGTTTACGAAGAGTTGTGGTAAATCTTGATATCATTTCAATTTTTTTAAATTTTTAACCCGCGCTGAAACCGTTCCTTTCTTAATAAAAATATTATTTTTACAACGATAATGACAAACTATCTTAATACCGATCCTGTTTACCAATGATGAATTAGCCATACAAGCAATTCAAAAGAATGGAATGCTGAATATTTATTTTAATGTTGCAAAGCTTCCTAATGGAGAACTTCATTTCAACTTCATAATCGAGGGGCAATGAAAAATTTGAGAACCGGATATTAAAGCTATGTTCTCGATTTATAAATACATTAGTGTCTCGAGTAACGAACACGCAAGCCGGCAACAAAGGATTCTCAAAACTGTTTTGAAGTAACCTCTGACAAAGAATTAACACTTAGAGGCTTTGGGAAACAGTATTAATATTTTCGACCGCTTAAACTGTAGAAAATATTACTACTGTTTCCCAAAGCCTCTAAGTGTTAATTTAATTGAAAACCTTGGTAGCAAGTAGCTTATAAGACCACGAATTCAGCCTAGACCAAATTATGAGCAGATAGTGCTCCAGGCAGACTATCTGAGGGATTTTTGTTATCTATACTACAGCCTCTTTGGGCAAAAACATTAGGTTGCAACTCAACAGTAAAGACATGGAGTAGTTACTAGTGGGTCACAGAAAGTAATTTCAACACGAAAGAGTTGGTACAACTTTTTTAGAAACAGTAGCAAAAGGAGATAGTGAAGGAAATTATTTTACGTTTTCGTCGTTTTATTTGTTTAGTACTCTACTTTTCCACCTTCTCTCTACCGTCATAAGGTAGTTTCCACTATTTTTTTTTTTTTTTTTTTTTTTTTTTTGTGTGTGTGTGTGTGTGTGTGTGTGTGTTATGGGTTTGTGCACAAAGTACTGTTGTAAAAGTTTAAATAAACATTCATCTTGTTGTACATAAAAGGATTAATCCACATTTAATTAATCAATTCCTATGGGTCAAAAATGAATCAATTCCTATGGGTTCTAGGAAATCAACAGAAAATAATGTCCTGGCCAATTCTTATTACATGAATGATCTAATAATCTTAAAAATATCATGCTAAACGAGGAGACTGAATACGCAATATACTAATATCATATGTTCTAACAACAAAAACCATTATTGCATAGCGGTTAGTCATGACTTTTTAATGTTCTGTTTGTATGCTCATATAAATTTAACTTACATGCATATCCTAACTAATAAAAAAAATCTTAGATCTAACTTCATTTTGGTTTATAAAATCTATTTAATGTCGAGAGGTAAACATAACTTCAGGCACCTCTTTCTTAGCCACGAGACGACAGTCAACAAGAGGCTATACAAGCCCAATAGTGACTTAGTAAAGGTATGCAGTATGTTCCGCTGGTTTGAAATAAAATTCCTATTGTATGTTTATAAACGTCTTTACTCGAAGAATGGTAAGTTAATATCCTTTCAAACATGCTATACTCATTCCCGCCATACTTTCCTTTGATGGGTTTGGATCTTCTAATAAGAGTATACGTCACCACACGCTTCTAAATGTAATTTCAGCGGCACTTATCCGAATCTGGGATCATGAAATGGCAGGTTTGTTCAACAGACCTCAACCATAATCGAGCACATTTGAAATGTAGAAACTCACCACAATATCATCAAACTCATCTCAATATTGCAGAAACGTGTTTTTCTTCGGAAGGCAATTTGGAGTTCATGGCATCTATGCCCTGTCGTATTTTGCGATAACGAATTTAACATACTATGTACTAGACAAGCGTGCCAGGTTTTCTTTATTTTTTTCAGCAGTACATTAAAATACACATGATAGTAATTAAACTTGGCCTATTCAGAGTACTCTGTAGCTGAAACAAAAATGCTGATTGATTCGAAAATTTATGAGCAAAAATGCGCTGAAAGATTTGAATAAGCATTACTTAAAAATTTTCCGCTGGAAGGCGCATTACATCGAAATACAATTTCCAATACATTTTTCCCTCAATGGCGGCTTTAGCCGTTTTTAAGCGTAGGCTACTACTAAGACGGAAGCAGTGGTCTCATTATTACAGATGCACTATAAGGTGGGCCACCGTTACCTTCAATGAAGGGACAAATAAATTACATCCATGCCTTCTCTGGTATTCGAAGTCGGGCCCTTCGGTACGGAGACACTAACCACTTTCCCGTCTAGGTGGCCAAATTCCAATACAAGTATCATTTACTTGTTACAGACTGCTCAGCAACACGAAGCATATTGTTCAATGTGCCCCCCCCATTAAGGTGCAAAATGTGCTGGCAATGAAAAAGGTGTTCAACAACTGAACGCCACTGATCTTTCGCACATGCGACGTTATACGGTTCTTCAGGTCAACCAACGCTGCAAGGTTTCCCCGATAAACCACGCTGTCTAAATGGCCCCATAATTAAAAATCACACGGCGTGAAATCGGGAGAACGGGATGACCAAGGAGTGGGAAATGAACGGGTAATCACCCACACTCTTGCCAATAAAATGTTGCCGCAAAAGCATTTGCACACTGAGTCCATTATGTGGAGGGGCACTATCTTGCATAAAAGTGGTAGACGCAACGCATTGTTAATGCTGAAGTGTAAGTAAGCCGAAACTGTTCAGCATGTCACGATGTCTGACCACTGTTACAGGGCCAGTATCGTAATTTTCTTCGAAGAAGAATGGTCCGAGGATAAAGTGGGAAGTGAACACATACCAGTCGGTAACTAAGCGAGTGTTGTGGAACTGTGAGGAAAGCACGTGGATTTTCCAAGGCCCAAATTAGACAATTCTGCGTGTTCACCGTATCATTGAGATAAAAATGTACCTCTTCACTTCATAGGACGTTCCACGGCCAGGAAACATAGACTTCCATTCGGGCAAGAAAAGTCAGTTCAAAAGATAAGTGACGGTCAGTGCTGGTAACATGCAGTTGCTGGTTGTGGCAGATCTTAAATGGAAAAAAAGTGCAATATTTTTCACAGTATCTTCCATATTGTTCCATACGTTACGTCTAATCGTTGTGACACTGCTCGTGCACTACTGGCATCATGATCATTCGTTGGTGACTGCTCGACAACGGCTGTTGCTACCTCTGAAACGGCTTCTCCACTAATTGGTCTCCGGCGCACTGACACTGGTCCCTAGCGCAACTTCTTTCAGCTTTGAAATTCACGAAGCCTACAGTACTTCTCTGCCCGATCTCGAAAACGGTAAAATAGCTCACAATTACTTATTGCATGTCTTTTCAAGCATTTTGTCTGTAATGCGCCCCTAGCGGAAATTGTTTGAACTTCCCCCTCGGCGAAATTCCCCAGAAGGCCAAGTTTAATTACGATCACCTTGTATATGCCTGTGTATTCTTCCTTCCTGCCTGTGTATTCACAGTATATATTACACGTGTATACCAGCATGTATGAAAAAATGTATTTATGGTTTTAAAATATGAACTTAAATATCCCAACACTACAATCTATTTACTCAAAAGCAAATGCTGTATCACATATGAATGAAAATATTAATACTAAAAGTGTACACAGTTTTTTTTTTTTTTATCTTTTTTCCTCTCAGTAGCAATTATGTGCCATCAAAATACTAAAATATATTTTCAGAATGAGGATATATAGTTTCTAGGTAGATTATCTGAAATAGCTGCTTAAACAAAATTAATTCTAAAAATAAAACGAGATGAAAAGCTATTAAAAACGCACACTTAATGAACAAATGCAACGAAATAACAGTCCATTTCACAGTTATATTTTTTTATGGAAGTAAAATGAATTCAAAAATTACCCTACACTAACTTTTAAGAAATTAAAATTTTTCAAAACATACTGCTCACTACATGAGAATATCAGTTTGCAGCCTGCATAAATTCGTGGTACATTATGCTTAGTTTTGTTATTCAGAAATTACACTTACTTCATTTTTACAGCATTCATAAAGTAAGAGATTCCTCGAAGCTAAGAATCAATAGTTATCCTTCACCTAAAAAAGGTACGCAGTGTGTTAAAAATAAATTCAGAGTGTCCTAGGATAAAACGCTTCAACAACATAAATCAATAAACATTCTGTTCGTATTTGAAAGTCAGACAAAACATTAACATTGTTAAAAAATTTTTATTGTTGAACGTTCGTTCACCTAGCAGTCCGAAAGTCAATCTTAATCCAAAAAATAAATGAGTCAAATAAATAAAAGAGGCAGCTGCGGTAATCCTCTCTGAAATTATGTTGCGATGACGATCAGTGAAAAGAGGATTATAGAGAAGACTGCTCGATTCGGAGGATAGTTCCGATAAGATCTCGTCATGAGCTTTTAAAGGAAGGCTAATCTTTTCCCGGATATGCCTCGATCACAATAACACGAAGAGGCATTAAGATTGGATTTTACAGAAAATTTGAAAGGATTGGCGATTTTGCGAAGGCGAGACTAATCCTGGCACTTCGGAATAAAGATTTTCGATAGCGATAGAACGACTTCCAGGATGGATGCTCAGGCTTCAGATTAGTGCAGTAGAAAACCTCTTGCATGCAATCGGAGAACTGGGAAATCCGATAACAGGGATAATTACGAATTTTGTCCCACCAAAACTGATATGAATTAATGGATTCCATTTCTAAGAATCGGTCCTCCTTAAAAGCATTCGATGTATGCATGAATTATTAGCGGATTTTACGCAAATTTGCCCCAACATTTTACATGATAGTCTTTGGTATTCTGGGATGGAAAAAAGCAACGGAGATGAGATAGTTTTCAAAACTTTTTTTTTCAACGAAGTAAATGCATTATAAAACTAAAGAGAAGCATAAAAAAACCGTGCACATATTTTCTACATCTCTTTCATTTTCGTTTATAAATGTAACAACTGAGAGAATTCAATTGCAAATTCTTAACAAAAAAAATAATAATGATGAGTTTTATTTCGATGCGTATAGCACAAATCGGCAGGCAAGAATGTCGTTTAAACATTAAAAGAAAATTTAAGAGTATCTATTCAATACCATATTTTACACAAAAATTCATCTTAAACCCAAATTATTCTTCATATATCTCTTTCATTATCTTCTTCATTCACTACATGATATTACCTGGAATTTGATTAGAAGCTTGAAGCTTTCTTTATCAAATCACACTCTCAAGATTGTAGAATATATGTTATTTCGAGGTAAATCAGTAAAACAAATCACCCGAGTCGAAAAACAATTTCTCTCAACCTATGAAAGGGCAAGCAAAATCTGATTTATTGCCAAAATTGATGTTCTCTTATTCAATGAGCAACCGAAACCATCTTACGCCTTCTTACTCATTATATGCTTAATGTTCCTACAAAATGCCATAAGTTTAATTTAATATAGAATTTGTAAGATGTTAAATAAATAAGACGACGTAAAAAAAGCACTTAAAAACTGTTCAACGTAAAGTGATTCAAAATAATCTAAAAAGCATATGAATATTTGAGTTATTGTGGAATACATTAACCCTCCAATAAGCATATCAATACTTATTCAACAGATTCAGGAGCTTTTGTTGTAGAACGATCAAGCAAATATTTAATGAACGATAAGAATGCCTTTACATAAAATTATTGGCCAACGCCTCACCACTGTGCAAAACAGTTCCCTGAAAGCAATGTATATGTTGTGTGATTCATCCATCACCAAATCTTTTAAAACTAGAAAAGTTGCCAACCCTGCAAATAACTGGAAAATACTATGTTATTTCTTTAAAAGTTCAAAATGAAATTTTGTAAGACATGACCTTAGTGAAGGTGAATTTTACAACACTGAAGATAACTGAAGAAAATGACAGTGAATTTGTAAAAATAACGCTCCTTTAAATAACGGAGTTTGTATATCTAATAAAGAACTCTTTATACTATGAACCCTTTTAAGAAAAATCCACTATAATTTACAATACATTTATTTCCTTTCACAAATAACATAATACTAAATACATCTATTACACTTCCATCAGTTATCAATACTGGGATAACGCATTATCAATCGCAAAACTAAAGAACCAAGTACTTTATTTACACCTTTCCCATAATATCGACACTATGAAAATATCTAGATAATTAAATATATTCAAGAGAAATCGTTTTTACACATTAAAGAAAAATACAGAATTACAATAAATATCAAAAGTCAAATTATGTATTTCAAAGATATATTATTAAAAATTCCAAGTTTATTTAAAAAAATCCCTTTAGGAGTTCATTTTAAGATTCGTAAATTCACAAATTGTACAAATCATCAGCAATATACGGAAGTACGTATTTTAGACAGCGAGATAATAAATAGGGAGTATAATAGAATTTATTTTCGTTGCATGCGTTCTCTTGACTGGAACTGGCAAACCAACTGCTTCAAAATGTCCATTTAATCTTGAAACCTACTTAATTAATACGACCTGATCAGATGAATCTGTTCATTTCAGAGTGGGATACCGAACTCAATAAATAAGACTGCTCAGGTCATGTCAATTAGTTACTTAATTTAACAATATTGAACTACACATATACAGGATTTTTTTTTTTTTAAAATTATAATCTTCTCTAACCTTAAAAGACGAAATGGTAAAAAGTTCATTATTAAAAGTATGATGACTCTTTGTCTTTGAAAGCACTCTTTCTGGAAACTAATTAATAAAAGAAATTTCGATTTCAGAAAGCAATTATATATGCTAAGCTTGTAATTTCTGCACGCTACAAAGTTTACTTTTTGATATGGTTAAATTATATTAGCTAAGGAATTTGAATCGTATAACTTTTTCCCGAAACCACATATGATCATGGAAGTTGATAATGGATAAAACCTTTAAGATTCTTTCTTACTGAAAGCCTTTGAACATTTTTTTTTTTTTTTTTTTTTTTTTTTTTACTTTAATATTGTAACACGACCAATTCTCAACAGGCACAGCAAGTCTAAAATCTTGAAACCTATTTAATGATATAAGATAACCTTATCCTATTATTATTTCTCATTAATTGCCTTTTCTGTGAATTTATACATTTAATCCATTACTTCTATTGCATTATTTATTACTTCATGCAAATACCTCACTTTAGCAGAATTTGACTATTCTTTCAATGCAAAGCTTGACTGGGGTTAAGATTTTTTTAAAAATAGGAAAGATTTTTTTTTTTTTTTTTAATTACGACAAAGCAGGTAAGGGTTTTGGCATAATCACATGAAGCCGAAAAGGTGGAAAACTTTCTAATGGGAACTCCGTTTGTATCCACGTTACACATGAGGAAAACCACGAAAATACCTATGAAGTCAGTACATTGGCCTGGAATCGAACCCAACCGAACTACCAGCGTCCAGCAAATATTTGCATGATCGTTCGGCCGCTGGTCCCTAAACTAGGGAAAGAAAGGAAGAGAAAGAATTACATCCATTTCATATGGAAAACATTTCTGTAAAACTAATGCTTTATGGCAACACTTTTACCTTTATCACTGAAAGGAAATCAAATTCTTACCTAAAAAATGCTGCCGGTTAAATATATATTTCGCCAGTCGACTTTCTAAGATTTCGAAAATATTGCATTAATTGAACAGAAAAATTTGGTTCATAATACCTAACAAAATTATCGAATATCAGTTTCCCATGATATAGTATGTAGGATTCTCCACTGTGGTAATTCTAAGTTACAGTTGAAAGTTAAGAATCTTAAGAACTAGTAAGCGAATAATCGCTTGAGCTCGTGTACAAAAACAAGTAAGAAAGGTGAAATAATCCTTTATTATACCAATTAAAGTTTAAAAAACTCCGTCTTGGAGTTGTACAATAAAGTTGACACTTGGGCTTGAACTGAAGAGACTAAGAATTAAACTAAACTAATTTTAACTAAAGGATATATAGCCGAAGCTATCAAGATTCTGACAGAGTTGGCCCTTTAACGCTAATTGACTGCGAAGCTATCAAGGGCCTAAAGTACGGCCGAGCATAATAATAGCTTACGAGAGAGTAGCCTAAAAAGGCAGACGCGTGCAGCTAGAATATCTGGTGTTTCTCTCACTAAGACTGTAGAACTTCGCGGTTAAATACCGATCTTCCTCATTAGCATTCAGACGTGATTCTAAAAACTACGTTCTGGCCGGAAGTGATAAGTTGAAATTAAGAATCGATAGGAAAGGAAGTTTAACTTAAAATTTAACTGTTAATAAAATGAACATAATCCTTACAAGTACACTAAGCAAAAGAACAAACTGTTTATAAGTTGTTCCATCTTGGGATAAATATTCCAAAAGAACTGCTGCGTTTAAATATATATTAGACACTGTGTGAAGAAAATGACGTATTTTATACTGTCCTGTGTTATAAGTTTGTTTTTAAAAAAGTTCTCATTCAAGATAGTAGGACAAATGGCTTTGCTTCTGTCAGCTCAAAAGTGTGCTTGGATTCAGCTACAGTAAGTATTATTAGGGACTGCCCATTGTTACAACCTACAAAAAAGGGGCCTATTATTACCTTTACAGAAATCATGAAGAAGGCTAGTCATAATGAAGAAAAATATCCGAAAGAACCGCTATCATTTTTCACTTTATAAAAACCGGAACAAAACAAATTGACTTAAGTTTTAGCGCTAAAAATCATATCAATACATTATTATCTTATTTTTAAAAATACATATTATGATTTTCTCAGCAGAATATTTTTAGTAAAATTACAGTCAGAAAGAGTTTTAAGGCTTTCCATATATATATATCAAAAGCAATTAATTATTACATTTTTTAATTACTCGTTACAAAAAAGTAAAATTATATAAAATAATGAAAGCGAAATGAATTTATATCATCACTTCGTTTTTTGAGAAAACAAAACTCACAATACTGTGGAACAAAACACCATATTTTTTATTTGGTTCCATATACATTGCTACCGAATACAGAGTATTTTTATTATTGTTCTACTGAATAAAATGTAAGCTGCAGAAGATGCAGAAATTTAAAAAGAACGTCTGCTTCTTTCTGTTCAAAATTATGCTTCTCGTATTTT